TAAAATATATTGTGCTGAATGTTGGTTTTATTGACTCTGTAGGATGTTCCTTCCAGAAGAAGATCTACTCAAGCACTTCTCACTCTTCAGTTCTGTGTAAATCATGAACCTCAATCAGTCATGTCTATTGGCTGTTTCATAAGCTGTCAACGAGACCTTAGCCTTTAAAGTTGCTTATTGTTGTTAAGACTCCAGAATCTCCCCTCAATCTGTGAAGATTATATTTAATTTTCCATACTACATTTTGAGTAGATTATAACAGTAGATGTCCAACCAAAATCTTAAACTTTGTAACGAAAAAAATGGCACAAAAATCAATCTTATCATTGTCCTTGTCCATAAAGGCAATGATGCAGGACTGAAACAATATTTGAACTCATTTTCATTTACCATCTCCTATCCTGGTGCACTGATACAGAAACACCGTAAGATTTGTAGATGGGACATCAGATGTCTAAGAAATAAAACTAATACCTCAGACCACAACTGCACAACATGTAAGTTTAAAAGGGACATTGCTGCCCTCCATACCATCCACTGCGAGCTCTTCAGCACTCTGGGAGTAACAACATGGCTCAGTGGTAAATCAGTGCTTCTGAAAAGCTCCAGACTGAGCCAACTGGTTGTGGCTTTTACTGTCAAACATGGAAAGAAGAACCAAGCAATAATTCAAATTAATTTGTGTAATGCATTTGTGGAAGGAGTAGTAGTATGATCCAAAATATATTTAATGGGAAACCACACTGTGTGGTTTTCAGTAAAAAAAACCAAAACAACAGAACCTGAGCTCCAGAAGTCTGGATTTTAATGAAATTTTGAATCCTTTCCAGCAGCTAGTGACATTTTCAGTATGGTGGTGGTTGTGGATTAGAGGTGTAAAATTATATCTCAGAGACAAAGGGCTAAGTTCAGCTTTGTGAAAGAAGCTTTTTCTGAAGAAAGTTCACAATGAGCAGGTCAAGTTTCTGCTCTGAACTGCATCCTGACGGACCTCTCCTTCAGGTGCAGAGGAGCATGTAAAGGGTGGTCACGCTGAACTAAGGTTTGTCACTTTGAACAGCACTCATTCACCAGGTTACACACCCAGGACTACCTCTCTGATCCCAGAAGCTGCACAGCAGCTGTTAGTTAAGCTCTCCATCCAAATTCACACACAATGAGCTGTTTTTAAAGTGAAGAAGGTTCATGTAGCGACTATTTCTTCCCTTTCACATGTATCTTTTCATGTCTGTACCTACTCCTTCTGTGGGTAGTCTTCTGAAGTTCCGCTGAGATACTATCTATGCTGCACCCAATAAAAGCTACTTACCTGTTTCAAAAGCAAGTAAAGAAAAAGGCATGAGGTATGTCACTCCCCCTTGCCTCTCTAGCCCTCTTCTTTTCTGAAAGTTGTTCCAAATTATTTTCCCTTTGGTTAGGCCTGACATTCAGAATGTTGAATGTGAGTATATCCACCGCAATGACAAGACTTCACTTTTCTGGAGAAACCTTTCGACACTTTCTTTTATGGGCTCTCTCAAAGGCCATGAGGAAACCTCAGACTACTTAGATATTGGATAACTACAAAGGAGTGATCCAAACTTTTAAATGCTTATCCAAACTGATTAGAACAGTTTGATGTTTCAAGGTCAAACAGTCAATGCAATCTCTGATTAGTAGTGCTGTGCAAATATCTAAAGATTTTTTTTTCAGGGAATGCCGTTCAAACATTTTAAAAAATCTGCTGCAGCTACTCTATTCTATTTCTTGAGTTCACTTCCAGCTCAGCATTGAAAGTACTATATTCTTGTCAGAGCAAAGAAAAATCAAAAATATGGACACTCACAATCAACGACGCGTTCGTGTGCACAACTAATCAAACCAGCGGTGCTTGCATATACAGCAGACAAAAAATGGAGTGAAATACTGCATTAAAAATGAAAAACATAAACAAATAAAGAAATTGTAATATGTTTGTGGATTGCCTACAAGCAGAAAATGAGACAAAGATAACTGGATAACTTATCCATTATAAATTAGTCTTTCGTCTCTAGGATTCACTGTGAAAGAGAAACAATTATGCATGACATTTGTTGCTGGTCAACGAATAGATCCTCTCGCTTTTAGCATCCAGTTAGATATGTGAGGCAGGTTTATTTGTAAAGAAAAACCATGTTGATTATTTCCTGCAAAATGAAAAATATCTTCCCCAAAGTATCATTTACAAATGCATATATGGATATAATGACAGTGAACTTTTCCCTCTACTTGTACATCAACTGAGTTTTAATTATTATCTCAGTCCGTAAGATACCAAGATGATTTAGATTGCACTTACAAGCCTTTGCAAAATGGCAAGAGATTTTCATTGCAAACTGGTGGATGACAGCAAGTCAGGGGAAGCCCATATATTCCCAGCTGTGGAAAATACACATTGAAAGGACATAGGAGACAGAAGGCTCTCCAAAACATCTGAATCCAACCTATAAGGCAAGATGTTTCTTGCTACTATCTAAGTATGCAAAATCGAAACCCAAACACATTGGTTTGCTTTCATTGGAGTAACCTATTACAAACTAAAATGACTCCTTCAGCTGTGTGTATTTTGTGCTCCTTAGAGCGCAAGCTTTTCAAAACAATATGGAACTGGCTGAATGCTTTCCTAACCTTGATAACCCAGCTGCCTAAACTTCTCCCGCTTTCCATATATTTAACATCCAGAAAATGTGTAAGAAATGTTCCCTAAAAATGGTTTAACACCCTAGGACATTTTCCAGTAATGTAGATTAAATAAACAAATACAAAATGTATAATCTTATTTTCACATTACCAGGGTTCTGTTTTGAAATTTTTCACTCACGGATTAGGAAAAGATGCAGTTCTGCACAGAAAAGAAGGTCTCATATATTTTGATACTAACAGATAATATACTATCTATCAAGGAGTGGTATACTTTTTATATTCATTTTTTAGCAGGGCTTTTATCTCATTTAAAGATAGAAACTGTGTTGAGGTACATAATAACAGTGGGTGACTTTCTCCCCCTCCTTTCTTTTGCAGCTGTTCAGTTATGACTCTTGGCATTAACAGAATGCGTGTTCCTGATTTGAAGTGGCCATGATCTCATCTCATCTCATCTCTACAAATACAGATGGTTGAGTAAAGTTTTACCAACAAAGATTAATTTCTATTTCAGTTTCCTTTCTTCTGTTCTAGGAAGACCATTAATTGAATAAAACTGCATCTTCTCAATTATACTATATCTTCTCAGTGGTTCTCCTAGTGCCAGGATTACGGAGTGGATGGGATGTTCACCTTACCCTTGGATTTGCCATAGCTGGAAAAGTCAGACAACATATTTGATGGTACTTTCTCCTCTACTTGGAGATCTGTTGTTATGGTGATAGTTCCAGGAGGGAACATCAATGAGGATGACTTGAAAGCTTTGATGTTTACAGCACAATTATTTTGAACACCTCATAAGAAAAGGTGACAGTTAGTACTGCTCCTTGATAAATAGGTGTCATTGTATCAGCTTTCATGAATTACCTGAATTTCTAGTTGTTATGTATCTGTAACACAATGTTGAATACAAATATACATCTATATATTTATATGTAGAAAAAAGGATTCAGAAGAACAACAAAAAAATCCCTTATTTTCTCATGAAGGATATAATCTGTTATTCCTAAAAACTTGCCTACAGTAACAAGTGACTTTTAGTTTTAATATAATATTTAGAATATTTGTATTGCTCTTTCATGATGCCCTGAGAGTTACCCAGCACAACTTTCTCATATCCAAAACTCAGCTGTGAACAACTCTATGAACCCACATCACTCAAAACACAGCTCTGCAGACGCATTGCATCACCCAGACTGTAATTCACCAGCAGTGGGTAAGCAGTAGAGACAGAGGAATTATTGGGCTGGAGTCTTCCAGCTCAGAGGTACTTGATGTTCACCACTGAGTTTGGCTCACAGATGTTACGAATGCACGTGGTTACTTACATATTCTTCATAGGCCTCGTGTGCAGGCGGCGGGGGTGGTCTGTAGCCCGGGACAGCTGGAGCTCCCCTTGCCCGAGGGGTGGGCACACCCCCCGCCACTGGTGGGACAGGGAGGGCTCCACGGGTGACCAGCGCTCCTCGGGGTGCTTGGGCACCTCGTCCTGGTGGGGGAGGAGGAATCGCGCCCCCACGTCCCCTGGGGGGAGCAAAAAGAAGTGATCACTTTGACATGTATGGCAAGGAAAGACATGCAACTGCTACCCCATTTTAAAGGCTCCTGCATTTTTGCTACTATTTAAAGTATTGTATAATTCTGGGGTTTTGGCAGATACAATGTCAAGCATTTTTAGGCAATATATCAGGCAGAAATCACATGATGGAAGGGCATTATTTTTAAGCCATCCAGTGCTTTTTACACCTGATCCTCTTGTTGCTTGTGCTTATGAAATTCTGGATCATTGTAATTCACTGAGTTGCAGAGTTACTCCGAAGTAGTTCTAGAGGAAGAAGAAAGTGAGTAATTTTTCTGTTGCTCTCCAACTATTTTACAAGGGCAATCATCACTCTCATTCTCATGTTTATTGGTGGGTGGGATAAACTGATTGTCAGAAGATGATGTAGGATGGCAGAAACTTGCAAGGCAAAGTAGAGCAAGAGTATGTAAGAACTTTTCTTCCAGTCTAATTTAGTTCAACACAAGGGAACGGTAGCACAGGATTCTGCTTTCCCCAACTGTGCAGAGAGAACAGCACATACAGACAAGCACCAAGAGGTTTAGCATCCTTATGTGTATTTATGCTACATCCACCTTGCTGTACTGCTTGGTAAGTCAGAAGAAGCTGTTACTGGTTAAAAAGAGGTTCTTGTAGCTATACCATGACAAAGTAGAAGGGGGATATATCAGGGAAGTAATCTGCCAGTTGTGTTTTAGAGTAGTATGCTCCTCCTGAGTGTGCTGCCCTTTCTGAACACTGTGAGTGCCAGGTATAACCCTGTGTGATGCCCAGACCAGGGCTGTGAATGGAACTCAGGTCTCCCACAGCAGTATGAGCTGTGGCTCGTTCCCTGCTAAGACAATCAAACCCATAGTGCTAGCTGGTGATGTTCACTACTTTCCTACAAGTTTCAGTAGCCAATTTTCAAATCACGGAATGGTTTGTTTTGGAAGAGACATTCAGAGATCCTCTCATCCCTGGCAGGGACATCTTTCACCAGATCAAGTTGCTCGAAGTCTTGTCCAACGTGACCTTGAACACTTCCAATCAAATGGTCAGAGGGCTGGAGCACCTCCCTTATGGGGAGAGGCTGAGAGAGTTGAGATTGTTCAGCCTGGAGAAGAGAAGGCTCTGGGGAGACCTAATAGCAGCCACAAGTTTTGCGGCTCTCCTCTGGATCCGCTGCACCAGGTCCATGTCTTTCTTGTTCTGGGGAGCCCAGAGCTAGACGCAGTACTCCAGGTGGGGTCTCACGAGAGCAGAGTACAGGGGGAGAACCACATCCCTTGACCTGTTGGTCACTATATATATATATATATATGCCCTTGGGGACAAGAAGGCCAATGGCATCCTGGGGT